ACGTAAGGTTTAGGGTTTAGGACTTTAAAGTTTTCTGGGTTTTCAGGTTAGGGTGCACGGCATGTCAGAGAGAGACAGAGAAAGGGCAAGTGAGTCAGTGAGGCTGTGCCAGTAAGGGTGGGTGAGTGAGAGCAAGGGTGAGAGTGGGAGGGGGAGGCGGCGCCCAAGAGCGACAGAGAGTAAGAGAGTGAGCGGGGGAGGGGGGGGGGGGGGTNNGGGTTCGGGGTCCAGGGTTTAGGGTAAGATGTTAGGATATAGAGTGTTGAGTTAGGGGTCTGTGGGTTCAGAGTTGCCTTCTGCGGTGACTTCTCAGGGCCTTGCGTAGTAGGCTGACATCTAGCCAATGTACGGTAGATGTTTCCTGAAGGATGGGGGAGGGTCTTTTATTTTAGACCCCGACATGTATTCCGAATCATGTTTGGTATGTAGATGTTCTCAGGTGTTTAGGCCCTGATAGCAGTTGATTGTTTGTGGTTTCGGTAGATTCCATGTTGATAGAACCACATTGCCGTTACGTTTGCGAAGCTTGTCTTGCCTTCTGCGCTCTTGCACACGTAGGGCTGCTGTGTGATCGATGTACATCCCCAGGAGTCCATGCAAGTATATAGCATATACTTGGGGCCCAAAGGAGTTCCTATGTAATTAGTTTAGGACCGGGTAAATATACTAAAGAGCTACATGGGCTCTTGGGGCATATCCTAACTCAGGAAACCCTCCTCTGGACTGTTCGGAGAGGTGACGTCTGTTGTGGCCACTGTCGGAACGATATCTCTTTTTCAAAAGCCAAGTGGCTTCATCTGTACACCCGGAAAACCATAACCTCCTTTGCAAAAACAATGAGTTCTCAACCTGGCACTGGCCTCCTTGGCCAGAAACTCCGTGACATTGGGACTCCTGGTCCTCAAATATACAAAGGGCCCATGTAGCTCTACAGTATATACTTGGGCCCTACAGTAGTTACATAGGAACTCCTTTTTGGCCCCAAGTAATGCTATGTACCTACATGGACCCTTGGGATACAAACCTGTACATCTTTGTCGCGCCTGGGCTCTCTGCTTCCAATTCTTATTTCTTAGACCCCGAGCTCTACGAAGCTCCTATGTAAATTAAATGGCACTCCCTACAAGCCCAATCTCTGTGCCCAAAATTATGAAACAGCAAAGCCGTAACCCCAAAAGCTTGAAGCGTAAGCTCCATACATGGCCTATTAAACCCTGCTAGGAATCTGAATCCTTGCGAGGCAGGCTTGACCGTTCTGCTCTGGAGAAGCAGGCTCACCGAGGGCAGAGCGTGCGCATGTTTAGGGTTGAGTGGGAGTTATATCTGGGCTATGGGCATAGGGGTAATGCGGAAGTGGCAAACATGTCTGTATAGCTATCTATCTATTTATTTATCTATGTATATGTAGAGAGAGAGAGAGAGAGAGAGAAAGACATTTACACAGGCCCCTTTCGCGAGGCATGAAAACTGTCAGTGGTATTCCCACACGGTGGACTTCCTGGGAATCTTGCCCTAAACCCTAAGCCTTAAACCTTAAACCCTAAATCCTAAACCCTAAAACCCTAAACCGTACGCCCTATAAACCCTTTATGGAAGGCCGAGCACTACAATGGTCGCCTGATCTTGGCCGCGGACCTGGCCCGCAATCCCAACGTTGGCGGTTCTCAAGGTTCACATTCAAGGCTTAGGGTTTAGGGTTATCAGAATTTGTGAGCCAGACACTTGGATTGTCAAAAACACATTGTTGTGCGTTGAACTGTGGGTTGCTTGCGTTTCTGGATTGCGTGCTGCCCAGAGGTCTGTCTCCTGGCTGCATAGTTTTGCATGCCGCGGCCAAATCGCATCATTTTCTGCATGTCGTTGAACCTTTGATTCTTTTGCACATTTGTTGCCTATTTCGGCATAATGTTGGCATGTTTGCTTAACATTTTAACATATTTTACGCATGTGCTTGGAACATTATTTGTAGTTGCTTCATGGACAGCAAGGATGGTTCAGCAACAAGTTCCCTTTGCTTTGTCTCCTACAATTACCTTTTTCATTTCTTGTGGTTGGTTCTGAAGATTACTGGGCTTTGTTGGCACATTTGTTCTAGCTTCTCTGTTTTCAACCCCTATTGATCAAATGACAGTTTCAAGACAGATTAAAGCAAGACCCGCTCTGGTTCTAATCCCATGTATCCCTGAGGTACCGGGGAATCCCATTTTGACAAACCCGAAACTCTAAACTTTTTGAGAAACCCCGACGCAACTCCGAGGTGTTAACTGGCTTGCTATGTCCACAGCAAGATCAGAGGACCCGTCGGTTTGCGGCTTTTGGGGTGAATATGCGTACTCACAGTATTAAAGATACTAGAATAACATTCAAGTTACCTTGGTAATCATAATAATGGTCATAATATTAGTACAAGCAACATTAAAGATAGCAGCAATACTAGGAATCATGGTAACAATAGTTACAGACCCTAAACCTTACTTGTCTGAAGTGGGCGAACGAGAGGTGTATGGGGATGATGGAGAAAGAATCTGGGGATGTACCCAGGAAGTCCAACATCCCTTAGTTAGGGTTTAGGGTCTAGGGTTTAGGGCTTTTTGAATATACCTTAAATCACAGTGGGGGATCCCTAATATGATTTCAGGGGTATTGGACTTTCTTGGTATGGGGAGGTTCTCAATAACATGATCCTTACTTTCGGAACTGAGTCCTTCAGTGCGGTAGATAATCTTCTTTCAGAGCGTGCCAGCTAGGCGTGCCAGCTGAAGACGTCTGTTTGGGCGTGGAGTTTCCTCATGATAGCAAGACCAGAGTTTCTTCAGACAGGTTCCCTTTGATTCCATCATGACACAGTGCAGCTGTAGCATGCTGCAGAAAAGACATCACACAGTGACCTAGCAAATTGTCAGTAAGCCTTCTGGTACAGGCATCGAATCCGACTTTCTATAGACTTGTAGCCCACCTTAAGTAGATAGAATATGGGGTGTATGAGGATCTTATTATAACATACCCAAAGCCATATTCTATCTACTTAAGGGGCCCTATATTCCCCGAGTTTCCATTTCATTTTCCATTCCACCTGATGGTCCATTATAGGGGGATAATAGGGGGATTATTCTATCTACTTTCTAAACCCTAAACCCTAAACTCCGAATGAACCAGGTCACCACATACTGGCCATGGGAGTTTCTCAACACAATCCCTATCTCATCCTCAAGTTGGACCCTTACCCTGGGGCTCCATGCTTATGTCTAGGGGTTTAGGGTTTCGGGGTTTAGGGTTTAGGTTTAGAGTTTAGGGTTTAGGATAAATAGTCCCTAGATTGGGCCCCAAGGTCGATGAGTAATATCTACATCGGGCAATTTGAAGCCCTAGGGTTACAATCCTAAAGCCTAAACCCGAAACCCAATCTCTTCATAATCCCCTTGTATGCCTAGAATCTCGAAAGGCTTTATCTTGAGATGATCCTCGATATGTCCTGTGCTTCCAAAGGTTGATCCCGGGCACCAGGAACCCTAAACACGTAAACTGAAACTCTATGGTCTGAACTCCGAACCGCGGTTTGGATTCAGAGGGTTTAGGGAACCCTTAAGGTTAGAGTTTAGGGTTCCAACCTTTAGGGTGTTTCCCATGGTGCTACCATACCCCCGCCCTCCAAATATGCCCTGCCTAGTACGTTTTCATTGGGTCTAGAATTCCAAAATGTGTGGGGGCCTTGTGGGGGCGCACGTATTAGAGTGGCCTGAAACCCTAAATGCCTGAACCCCCAAATGCTAAATCCAGAAACCCCTGAAGCCTAAACCCCTAACACCCTAAACCCCTAACACCCTAAACCCTTAAAACCCTAAACCCCTAAACCCCTAAACCCCTAAACCCCTAAACCCCTAAAAGCCCACAAATCCCTAAAACCCCCTCCTTTGAGAACGCCCTTCCCCGGGAGGAGCCGGGCTGCAGACATTGTGGAGTCCCTCCGGAGGCTTGAGGTGGACTGGACCCAAATTTTGCAAACCTCCTCATATTAAGGGCTTAGGGTTAAGGGTTTAAAGGTTTAGGGTTAAAGGGTTTAGGGTTTAAAGGGTTTAGGGTGTAAAGGTTTAGGGTTTAAAGGGTTTAGGGTTTAAAGGTTTAGGGTTTAGGGTGTAAAGGGTTTAGGGTTCAAAGGTTTACGGAAAACCCTCTCATCCTGGAAGGTGCTCTTAGAATCTTCTGATACAATGTAAGGTGTATTCCGGGATATTTCTTTTGAAAATCCACTGAATCTTAACTATCTCCGGAAATGAGATGAGGTCCATTTGACCAACTTCTGGGGCTTTGGGCCATAAACCCTACACCCTTGGACTATACAAATCCAAATCATCACGCTCTAAACTAACAAAAGCTGCCCTGAATCCCGTCAACCCTAGAAGCCCAGATACCTGTATAGGGTTTAGGGTTTAGGGTTGTACACAACATGCAAGGACTAGGAATAGCAACCCTCGGAATAAGTACGTGGGGACTTTTAGCCTAACCCCTGAAGCCTGAGACCAAAAGCCCTAAGCCTAAACCCCAAAGCCCAAATTCAAATGGGTGGTTGTCAAAATTATGGTCCTTTTTGGATCCCTACTATAATACGACACCTAATATTTAGGGTACCCAAAAAAGGGATCATAATTTTGACAACCACCCACATCCTCAACTCCAAAGTCTGTCAAGCTCAATTCCTATACCCCAAAATCCCAGGCACCCCCGCACCTTCAAACCCCAAGGCCTAAATTCTCAACCCCACTCCGAGCATTTCTCCCCGACAAGGAGGACCGAATGACCCAGAATGCCTGCAATTCGCGAACTGAATCGAGCTCTCTGAGATGTTGCCCGCTTCAGATTTGTCTTGCCGCCGTGCCTTCTCGGCTGCAGTGATGCACCAGGCAAGCTGCCCTTTGAAAATCACACAACTCCATATCTTCCCTCGTTGCATTGAGCATGGCTCCGCTGGGCGCTCTGGCCTTGCTATGCTCCTTGTATGTGGAGATGGCCAGCGCTATCCGGCATTCGGAAGAAAAGTCAGCTGCTCACTTGCATGAGGACGTTAAGGTGCGTGCTTTAGATGGGATTTTAGCCCTCCTCCCATCCCAAAAAGGAAAATAAACTTACATAGGCAATTGCCATTGTTTTTTTTGGTTATGTGTTGGCAATTTTGAATGTTTGGGTGGGTGGAGTGTTCAGTAATCCGGGGATGGGATTATGAAACCAAAAAAACCTAAACCCTAAACCCTAAACCATTGCAGGAAAAGCAGGGCTTAACCTTGACCAAGCAGTGTTGCTACAGCGAGCGCGATGACGTTAACTTCTGCTCTTATGATGACTGCTTTGTTCCCTTCAAGCGACTCCGGCAGCATGCAAGAAGTCTTAAGTTTTGGAGGGACCTCATTGAGTTCAACCGGATCTTGTGAAATCGTACATCCTGCGGTGTAAGTCTTCATGTGGGTGGTTATCAAAATTATGGTCCCTTTCTGGGGTACCCAAAATATTAGGGGCCGTATTATAATAGGGACCCAAAAAGGGACCATAATTTTGATCACCACCCATGTGACCATTACATCTTCTATTCTGCAGGCTCCTAGCTTCTTGTGAGTTCTCCGCTTGCCGTTGAGCGTAGCACTAGAATGTACTGAAAGTACGTTTTCTGTTCTGCTTGGACCAAACTCAGGAAGGATATGTCTTGCCCAAAGGATTGCTGCACGAAGGGTACGAACTGTCCAAAGCGCGGAGAGAAGAAGAGGCATTGCTGCTGGAATGCCGTAGAAGGCAAGAATACATGCTTCAAAGACCATTGCGCGGCAGAGGCGGATCCGGACTATGTATGCCCCTCCGAGTGCAAGAAAGAGTGCTGCTGGAGCCCGGACTCTCTTCCAACTCTGAGTTTTGCGAAGTTCTTGTCTTCGGGCAGTTGAATGCTTTTCTATAGGGATTACTTAGAACATCTGCTTTACCTGGTTATTCAGAAATGAGGAACATCAAGAGAACCTGTGCTTCGAGGAGTATTGCAAGTTCCCTCCAAAGCTCAACGTCGGGTACAGAGGATCCTGCCCGGATGAGTGCAACGACGTCTGAAAGGTACCTTTTAAGTTCCATAGACCATGCCCTGCATACTCCCGGTATACCCTAGGTCATCCCGTTTGAGAAGGTGTTGTTATTCCAGAGATGGCCACAAATTGGGTCACGAAAACTGAGTTACTGTACCCTAAACCCATGACCCGAAGCGAGTCGATGAAGAGGCCCGCTGCGAAAAGTGTCTGCTGAGTTGCATCAGGTTCTCAAAGCCCAAGTCCTATAACCTTTTAATCCTCCCTCTGGAGAGACCTCTTAACCCGTATTGACGGGTCCTTTAAGATCACCCGGTCCTGTAGGGGTCCCTAGTACAGAATGATATCCTACTCCCAAAAACCTAAGTAACGATTGCTGTCATAAAAGTTTCAGAGATTATGGTTTACTGGACCCTTCTTTAAGCTGATCCTTTACACCGCCATATAATACTTGGCCCGATTCCATTTGATTTTTCAATTTCGTTTCCATTTGGTTCTCCTTTCCATCATTATTCCCCTTAAGCCCTCAAACCCTAAACCCTAGAACCCTAAACTCTAAACCCTAAAGCCTATCATCAGCCCTAACTCCCGAAAGCCTAAACCCTAACCCTGAAAACCTAACCCCTAAAACAACAAACCTAACCCTAAAGCTTACATCCTTTACTGGACCCTGTTCGCTTGCCTCCGCGCGGCCAGGAGAAGCTGAATTCCTCGGCCTCCACGCAGCTTGGATAAACTTGCTGCCAAAAAAGGGAGGGGTAATCACTTCCCCCTATTAATAAAACCACCCCTAATAATGAATAATAAATCCAGGGCCCTAAAAATTCCTCATGAGCCTTTTAAACGGGGTTGTATTATTTTTAAAAGGGGCCAGACCACAATGAATTAGGGTGGGTTTTGAAGTCATTAGGGATTAGGGGGGTATGATAGAAAATCCAAAGGATTTAGGGATCCCCTTGACATCCGAGGTTTTGGTTGATTTTCATATGTGTTTTATAAATGATTTTATATACAAGAACTGAATGCGTTTTTAATTGATTTTATTACAGTTTTAGCCGTATTTACTTAAATCTCAATTGAATTTCATTCGATTTCAATTGATTTTAAAAGGACTTTTGATTATATTTCTACTGATTCTAACGGTATTTCAATTCGATTTCAATTGATTTTAAAAGGAATCTTAATGAAATTTCGATTGATTCTAACGTATCTTAATTCGATTTCAATTGATTTTAAAAAGAATTGTAATTAAATTTCTATTGATTCCAACGGCATTTTAATTCGATTCCAAGTGAGTTTAGAAGGAAATTAAATTAAATTTCAATTGATTTTAAAAGGAATCTTAATCACATTCGATTGATTCCAACGCGATTTTAATTCGATTTCAATGATTTTAAAAGGAATTGTAATTAACGACTAATTGATTTTAGAAGGAATTTAGAAGCAGCCCTACCGAATTCTCTCAATAAATATGCCCCCCTAATAATAAACCATTTCTGACCCCCCCGGATTATTGATTATTAGGGGGGATGTCATTGATTATAGGGGGGAAGCGATTATATAGGAATGGGTTTGGGGTTTACGGTTTGGGTTTAGGGTTTAGGGGTTTTAGGGGGTATGGTACCCTGAGGGCCAAGGTCTACAGTGTGTAGGATGTTGACTGCTTAGGGGGCCCTACGGAGATTCCTGAGGGAAACATAGGGATATATCATATATCCCTATGTTCCTCTGATATATGGGGGTATACATTGGCACAGCACCCCATGAAATCAGGGCGTATGGTTTACATAGCGCGGCTAGTTTCAACGGCTTTACAGATTTTTGATGGAGGTTTTCAGAGGCTTAAGGTTTAAGGGTTAAGATGCAGAAGGGATAACGTAGGTTTACAGGGCGCTGTGGCTGTGGCGCCGCAGGCTGGGCTTTTACATCCCGGAAGAAAGTCGCGCCCCCCACAACCCGGAATGTTTGTCCTCAGAGCCTAAGCCCCAACCCCCCAAAATCATGAGGCCCTAAGCCCCATTCCCTAAACCATCAAATGCAAACCTTTGAAGCCAAAAATACGAAACCTGAAGCCCAAAACCTTGAAAACCAAACTCGTTAAACCCAAAGCCCTAAACAGTTCCGTAAACGCTGCATCCTCAACGCTAAACCTTAAATTCTAAACCTCGAAATCCTGCAGAAGGTCGCTACCGGCTTCCACTGAGTGGTGGAGGACTCGGAGGCTCTCCGAGGCTCGATTTTTTTGTGTGGTAGGGCTTATAGGGTCTACCTGGACCCCAACAGCAGGTAAAACAATACCCCAAAACCACAAGAAATTGCCGAAAAGGCCATTATTCTATATACCTTGGGAGATGTAGAGTTCAGGATTTAGGACTTAGGGTTTGTAGGGGGCACGGTTCAGGTTCAGGATTTTTACCCTTAAGTGCCTAGGGCCTGAGGCTCGAATGGGCTTTCCCTTCCTATTGGAGGGTAAAGTACCTCAAGCTTCCGAGGGGCTTTTCTAGGGTTTAGGGTTTAGGGTTTAGGTGTTCGATTTGTGTTACACAGTGGTATCTGAAACCTTTCCATGATGTCTACTATGGGGCATTTCAGGGTTCACGTGTTTCAGCATGCTACTTTGTGCTTCGAAATTATCCGGAGGCCCAACCTTATTCACCAAACCCATCGCCCCTGACTTCAAGCTTGCACCCCTGCCAAGGTCTAGAGTGAAGCCTTTCGGGTTCAACCTTAAATCCCAAATCCTATAAGCCCTAAAGCCTACTCCAAATCTACATGCAAAACCACGAAGGGCTACCTGCAGAGACCAGAGTTTTCCGGGCGTGCAAAATTTATGCCAACAAAACACAAACCCGCAACCCTAAGTTCGAGACCCTTTTGGACTCTGAACCTTGACCCCGACAGTTTAAAATCGAAACTTTAAAGCCTATCCTTATAGGGATCCAGATAACCCAATGTAGGTAATATTTACAGACTTGAGGGCCCAGTGTAGGTATTATTTGTATTCAATTATCCTGCTACCCGTTTAGATACCTTAGCTTCCATTTCATTTTGAATTTTCTTGTCCATTTGATTCTCCATTTTTGGTATTATTTGCATACTTGGATCCCTATTTTGTAGGGGCCTAACGAATCGGAATAGAAGATTCTACTTATAGGTGTTATAATGGCCAGGTGGGTTTAGGATTTAGGCTTTAGGGTTCAGGGTTGCAGGGTTTCCCGGTTTAGGGTTTCAGGGTTTAGGAAAGATGTATTGCTACATAGTCAAGCTTCTACATGAAATTTCAAATAGCACGCAAACTGGGTTCAGCCAGGCAAGAACACAAAATCCCGAGAGCTTTGCCAAACCCTCTACCCGAATACGCAGAGGCTTAGTTTACAGATGCAGTTTAGGGTTGTAGGGTACCCCCAAAAATACGTAGGGCTTAAAGTCTACAATCATGGGCGCTCTGGACGCTGAAGCCTATGTCAAGCAGTACCCACTTCCCCGGGGCTGGAAGTCTACAACTGATTCATCGTCACTTGTGGCTCTGACGCCTTTTCTGCTCTGGCTAGTTTGGTTAGGCTGTTTTGGAGCCCTAGGGCTAACTGGATGATTGCTGAATAGCATTTTACAGCTTTACCGAGTACCAGAACCACATTCGCCTAAGCCCTTAACCCTAAGTTCAAGTGCCCTGAACCCTAAACCCTAAACCCTAACAAAGTTGAGACAGGATTTGGAAGAAAGCGCTGACAAGGCGCGAGCTTTCGGGTACCCCCACCTAAACCAACATGGAACCCACAATCCGCCCCTGTGGAGTAAGGGAGTTGTAGGGAGGGTATGAGAATATGAGCGGCATAAATACACATGTGTATATATGTGGGCATATATATATAAATATATATATATATACATATATATATATATGTATGTATGTCTGTTTGGTTTGCCGACCCTCACACTGACATGGAACCCCATGGAGACAGCCTTGTAAAGGGGCGTAGTCTGCAGAAGGCCATGATAGGGTTCCATGTCAGCTTGCTGCTTTTAAGGTTCTTAGGTTATTAGGGCTTGGGTGTGGATCGAGCGGAAAATGTGGGTGAGAGCAGGCCGACCCCCCTGAACTCCATACCCTGAACCCTAAACCCTAAACCCTAAGCCTCAACCCTTAACACCAGTCGGCTTAGAGCTCTTGTCGAGGTTGCTTGATAGATGATAAATGTCTTTATCCCCCTTTTGGGCAAAGATGAAACCCCTTAAAGGGGCGCTAGGTTTAAGGTTTACGGCGAAGTCCTTAGTGGGTCTTTGTGGGCCTCTATGGGAGGGGGCTATCCCTAGGGCATCTTTTGCTAACTTTTATTGTTGTTAATGATATTCTGAAAGACTGCATTGAATACGTCCCAGGCTGTAGGAAGACATTGGTTGGGCATGCAAGGTTGTTGCGATCCGGGGGGGATATTTACGAGATTGTTATCTTGAGAAGGTTTGCCAGGTATCATGGAGGATATATGACGAAAAGGTCAACTGAAACATGTGGGCTTACTTCTTCCCTAGTAGGTGGCAGCAAGATGCCGCCAGCAGTAATTGTGTGACAGCGACATTCCGATTCATGGTAGTTGTGGTCATCTACCTGAGCGATGCGGCTGATGCCATGGCTAGCTAATGAAGACGGAAAGAGCGGTCAAGAAGGCAAATCGTGGACAAGCTTGACAAGATTCCTATGCAAGGCTTCAACCTATGCCACAACTTCGCGCAGCAGGGTCAGGAAGTGTCCTTGACACCAGGGAGCCCAGTATCCCTTTTTTTAGGGAGCAAACCCGAAGCTACACAAAGACTAACATGATTCAAGGTGCATTCCTGAATTGAGGGATATTGGGCTCTGCTAGTTACCCCATTAGTACCCTTTTTCCCTTTTTATGTTGGGGTCTCCTTATTAAAGCTGAATACTGCGAAAAAGGGTACCCTTTAGGAGGACCCCCCATAATCCTTATTATCCCTTATAGTCACTATTACAGGGTGGGGGGTCCACCTAGGGTACCCTTATTATTTGGG